AAATGATGCATTTTAATCAGATTCATGTTTCATAATATAAATATGAACCATGGTTACCATGGTTTGGTTCAGGATATTGCAGTGTTTCAAAAATTGATACATAATCATAAAAACTGTGATTTGTCTAAATAGTATGAATGATATATTACTTTTTTATAGACTGCACAAGTATTGGATATGGCAAACAAAGAACTTGAGGTTGCCAGAAGAACTGAGCCATCTGTTTAGGGGACAACACAAGGACATATGATGGATGTCAGAGGTGTTGGAAGAGTTGGCCACCAGATGGATCAACTGACACAAGAAAACATTCTTATACACTATACCTTAGCAGGTGAATTAGCTGACGAAGATTCAGAAATATAAAATATAACATTGCATGGAAAAACATTTTCAACGCAGGCAACCTCACTAATATTATAGGATAATTTTCTTGAGGACTGTTCATTTATTGCTTATTAAAAATAGTGTAGATAAAATAAGTTTATTTATGTAGATAGAACTATTCCTACATATGCACATAAGATGGAAACGTTTGAACATTCTAGAAAACATAGTGAACAAAAAAAAACTGCAAGTTATTGAAAAGGATTTATTTGTTAGAATTTGAATGCCCAGGGGTGTATAAAGAAAACAAGATGTTTCCAAACTAATAAAATGTTGCCAAGCACAAGAGTTTATCACAACTATGTTTAATCTAATAGCCAATAAGGTCCCTTCTTTTAAAACACAATGTATATGTGATGTGCAAACATAATTAGCTTAAATAAAGAAATTAAGATATATTGTTAAAAGCACATAACTTTCTGCATGCCCTTGGTTTGAAGTTTGAAGCCTGTATACCAATCTTAACACTGTATGCATGGTTGTTTTCTGTCTCAAACTATCAACACCCTTGTTCTACAGCAAACTCTACAATGTCTCCTGTAAACATTTACATTTATTTTCACATGAACAAAGTTGCATTAGGATTTCTTGCTTCATCTAAGAGGTTTGTGGGACATGGAATTGTGCACTACAAATAGCCTGGTGTCAAAATTGATTGTTTAGCATAAATATATTTTCTTTTGTCATGTTTAATGTTTTGGTTCTAACTTCTAATGCTTTTCCTATTTAGAATAGTATATTTACTCAAGTTTAAATCTGTATAAAATGGTACACAGTTTGTGTCTTTACTGCAAAACTACCTTAATTGTGAACGAGAAAATCAAATTAAAATGCTCCACAATATTAGAATGAAAATAAAGTTCATTTGTTAATGTGTCAGTGTATCAAGTTGAAATTTTTAAAATTTGTTGAACAGCATTCTAATTTTTTGTCTGCTTTTAACACACAAGCATTTAACTAGTGGTGGTGTGGAAGTCCAGCCATAGTATAGTTGGACTTAACTAGTTTACTGATGATTATTTTTGATTTATTAAAAGCAAACTGCAATTATTTAGCAAAAAAATTAAAAATTTTATGGCATTAATAAACTGTAAAAGTAAACTTGGGTGCAACAGGGTTATATTTAATATAAAATGCACAGTTTTATATACGGTAATATACCAGTAAACTATGCAATTTCTCTTCAACTATCACACGCTTGGATTCTGCTCATGTTTAGGCCAGATATTGGTCTTTCATTAAATAGTCTAATTTAAGGGCGAAACGACAATAGAAATGATGTTACAGGGCAATTTTAATACTTCTCTCCAGAAAGCATTAGCATATTATTTGTCGCGCAACTTGTATTTCGCGAACACCAACATGGGCAGTAGATGAAAATTTACGGACTTTGTATATCCCTTCTCAATGCAGACATTACATTCTTCTCTAAATAGGCACTTTCCAAACAAAAAAGCATGCTTTGGATTGAGAATAACTCGTTTGTTAACAAAAAAGCGATATGGTCGAAGCAAGAACATAATAGAGATTTCGAATGAAAGAACGCTACAAGTGGAAAGCATGTAATACGACACTCAGCCACACCCCCTCTGGCGATAGAATTTTAATTGCTCACGTGACCAGCCCCAACCAGGGTCTTTACTCCCCACGAGTAGAGTAAAGACCCTGGGTACGAGGTTGGCAAGAAGGTAGCGTCTGTAGCGACGGCAAATAGCCGGCTACCGGAATGAGAATCTCCGGAATCTTTAAAACCCGGAACGAGAATCTCCGGAATTTTTAAAACCCGGAACGAGAATCTCCGGAATCTTTAAAACCCGGAACGAGGATCTCCGGAATCTTTAAAAGCCGGAATGAGAATCTCCGGAATCTTTAAAACCCGGAACGAGAATCTCCGGAATCTTTAAAACCCGGAACGAGAATCTCCGGAATCTTTAAAACCCGGAACGAGAATCTCCGGAATCTTTAAAAGCCGGAATGAGAATTTCCGGAATCTTTAAAACCCGGAACGAGAATCTCCGGAATCTTTAAAATCCGGAACGAGAAACATGTAAACAGAAGGAGCAATAAAATAAATCCCGTTCTAAACAAGTTGTGTCATTCGATATCAACTTTTTTGACATAAAAACAGTCAATGTATGATAAAATGAGCCTGCCTCTTGAATTCTGTCGTTGGAATTTTCCAGATTCGGTCTAAACGTGAAATAATGTTATTGTTATTTGAATAGCCATGCTACCGACAGTGCTACTACGCGCGCAATTTGTTAAATCAATGTCAAATCTAAAATATCGTGAAAATCAAGCGTCATCGGAGTGCTTCTTATCCAGGCGAAATATTGGACCATCACCGAAGCCCTATTTTCTCTAAAAATGCGTTTTTCTTCGCCTCGTCGTGGTCCCTGTCCTCGCTGTTTAACCAATATATGAAATGGACATTGGAAATTAGAATACACTGGACAAGTAGCAGAAGGCATTCAATACGATCGAATTATGAAATGAATACATGTCCACATCCGTGGAAAAACGTTACAAAGTGAACTATCTTTTATGTAGTCGGGTGCATCATATCTTCTGTGATTAAAGCTGTTAAAAAGTAAGTTTTATCAAACCTAATATTACTATTAATATTGAGAGTAGTTTGGAAAAGCTAGCACTCAGTTCTAGCTTATATATATTAAACTGAAAAACACTGAAACGGTGAAACCCTTGCCCCCTCTCCTGCCCTATCATTTCATTGCCTAATGGTAGTTACAGGTTTGACGGGTACTCCCAGTGTATTTATAAACATTTTTGGTACATTTTTCCACCAGAGCCAGTAGAGAGTCCAATCTAATTTATTCACACCAAAAATTTGAGCAGCTTTTGAACAAGTGAAATTATAACCATAACTTTTCCTCAGAAGAAAGAAATCAAAGGCCTACCAATAACAATGTTAATTTAGCTTGTTTATCCAGCACATACCATGGCCTTTGGTTAAAAAAGCAGCACTTGGTTTGTAACTAGCTGTTTGTTTTCCAAAGGGGTTGACAAGTGTTCACTTTGTTGTATATATAACATTTCAATTGTCATTTAGCTCAGGGTTGTTGAACTGTCACATTAATTTACATGGGTGTAAAGGGATTCAAATTTGTGTGAGGAATTTAGCTTCCTCAATTATATATGTTTGACTTTCATTTTACCACTAAAATATATTTTTTAGGTGTCACAAAGTAATACTGAAATAATTTCTTTTGCTTTCATGCAGTGCAATATCATATGTGCACAATTTCATTGCTCCCTAACTATCTATGTACTGCTGATTGGAAATTTCTATGGCATGCTTATCAAGTGCAATTCCGGAGATTCTCGTTCCGGGTTTTAAAGATTCCGGAAATTCTCATTCCGGCTTTTAAAGATTCCGGAGATTCTCGTTCCGGGTTTTAAAGATTCCGGAGATTCTCGTTCCGGGTTTTAAAGATTCCGGAGATTCTCGTTCCGGGTTTTAAAGATTCCGGAGATTCTCATTCCGGCTTTTAAAGATTCCGGAGATTCTCGTTCCGGGTTTTAAAGATTCCGGAGATTCTCATTCCGGTTTTTAAAGATTCCGGAGATTCTCGTTCCGGATTTTAAAGATTCCGGAGATTCTCGTTCCGGGTTTTAAAGATTCCGGAGATTCTCATTCCGGCTTTTAAAGATTCCGGAGATTTTCGTTCCGAGTTTTAAAGATTCCGGAAATTCTCATTCCCCGTTCCCCGTTCGTCGTTCCCCGTTCCTTGATTCCCCGTTCCTCGTTTTAAAGATAGCCGCAAATAGCCTCGCCATCTCGTGTCCTCATTCAACAAATAAATTCTCCTGGAGCATTCCTTTTAGCATAATTTTGCTTTTATCTAGCAGCCTTATCTTCGTCACTCGCAATTCTAGCCTCTTCGCCTTGCGACATAAAATAAACTAATTGTGCTCCCGAACTGTCGGTTTGTAATACAAAGCGCTAATATCGCATATCATTAACATTCCAAAAGTTGCTCCCTCACTGATGGAATGTGTTGCTGCGCGGAATATATGCGCAGAACGGACTTTACCTCATCTTTAACTTTGTAAAGATTAAAAAAAATTTAAAGATGTAAAGGAAAACGAAGGAATTTCAAATGATTTTGCATCATAAAAAAATGAAAAGGTTAAATTCATGCAAGTTATATTGACATTGCATCCAAAGGCATACAGGCAAACCTCGAAAGCACCACTGCTGTGCCCAGGTCACGTGTCAGCTTTACTGGTGTTTGAATAACACGAGCTTTGAAAACTGCTTACGTATTACTTTCTCATGCATACTTGCATTCCTTAACTTACATAAATGATGCATTCGAATCGTGACATAACTCTGAGAACAGCACTTTATCAGAGTGAGCAGGTGGTTGTCTACTGCACTTGAGTCAAACATGTGTTGGTTTAACGTGCTAAAGACCCCGCTCTTCACACATGTTTCCAGCACCGTCTTCGCAATTGCTCCTGATAGTCCAGCGCTACGAGGTAACCACCTTGGTTAGCATTCAGCATTCTCCTAATGCACTTCTCCGTTTCTTCACAAATCTTAATCAGTCCATGTGACGGTAGCTTCAAACCTCCATTCGTTTTCCATGTTACGAACAAGTCCGGTATGTTCTCTTCGTCGTCAGCACCGTTGTACATTGGGTGCAATGGATCTTTTTCGTCACCATCTTCGAGACGTATCCAGCAATATACGATATTGCAGCCTCCTTGTACTCAGACAGTTCAATGGCATTAGACACATCACAGTAGTCATGATCGACGGCAGCTGGCTCTCTCAACTCCAGGTCGTATCGCCTTGCAATCGCCACATCTGAGATCCCAGTCGGCGTTTCTTCAATTTCACACTGATCTTTGACGCAATCTAATATCTGAGTGTCATCTTGAGCAACGCAGTTTCCATGACCTCCTTTGATATTGTGCCTCATCAGCAGTTGCTTGTACGCGGCTACAAACTGCCGTGTGGTTGGATTGTTATTCCATCCTCCGCATGCTCGCACAGCACCGAAGAACAATTCCAAGTGATCTTGACCCATCTTGTACGTCAGAAGGTACTTCAGGACTGGTTTCTTCGTCATAACCAGATCGTCGGCCAATCCCAAAACTGCTTTGATGCAAATAAGAAAACCAAGAAATCCAGTTTTCCTTTTCGACTTGAGAATCGATCTTCCATCAGGACCCTTTAGATTTCGGATGTACTCACTCGCCTGGTCCAGAAACTTCTTTGTGTACTGATAATTCGATCTCCTGATTGGCGCTTTGTAATTCTTCGCCAGCCGGTTTCTGGAATTCAGAACATCAAATAAGCGATCAAAAACACGTATAAACTTCACAGTTGGACCACATCCCTGAAATTGGCAATTTCAGCTTACCTTCGCAGTATTCTAAAGCATCAGCGACACTCGAACTGAGCGCCTGTGCTGCTAGGTTTACCTTCATCTTTTGTGGTTTCCATTTGATATGCCCTGCCGAAGCTTATTAGCAAGATGTAAACCCTCTGATTCTTGCAACTGATGCAATTTCTCGATGAATTGCCACTGAATTGTGTTCCCTTCTTCATCCTTCAGAACTTGCCAGTCCGACATTGTGTTTCGCACCAACTTTATCATGTGGCAGGCGTCCAGAAACACGTAGATCTTGGCCTCTGGGTCACACGGATGCGGAAAATACGCCTGCAGGCTATCAGGTGTAAGAATTGCGCCGAGCTTCTTTAACATCGCCTGGTGGGTCGATGGACCGTCGCATGTGAAAGAAATCACCTTCACCCAGACTTCGTGCAATTTCCGAATGCATTCTTTCGTTAAGTTGGCCTTCTCTTCACCAGTCAGCCCATTCACCAGAAAATATCCACAGGGTATTTTCCAACTTGAGTTTGCGCAAACGGCCATGTACACAAGAGCATCGGTAGCTTCAGGTAGAGAGTCGTCTTCAATGCCCGTTCCGAGGTCGACATAACCACGCATTCTCTTACCATCCCACTCGACGTGTTTTCGTATAGACATCTCATCCAAGGTGAGAGCGCAAACAACTTCTTCACCTTTTCTTTTTGCAGCGAGGACCTTAGCTTTCAAAGCTGTCAGGCATCTTCGTGAAACCGGGTTCACCATCCATTGACGTATACCACGATCGGATCACAGATACGTGTGGCAGCCCTAGCTTGAAACTTTTCCGAACATAATTGTATGCCTTCGTTGAATAAAACTTTAAGGTCAGAGCAAATGACCTTAGCTCAGGTGGATATGCGCCAGGATTTTTCTTTTTCTTTTGCGAAACCAACCTTTTCATCAGTTCCTTTGGAACTCCGGAAAAGGTTGTTTCCAAGCTTGAGGCACAATCACTATTTATAAGACTCTTCTTTTTTAACTCACTTACCACTGAACTCAGAGTCACAACCTTTCTCTTCAGGCGCCGAGTCTTTTGTTTGGATACTTTATACCTCTTCTGCAACTTTGTCAATTTGCTGACAACATCATCGACTTGTTGTTTCAAACTACAACGAGATTTACTGATGTGATATGTGTGATCATGATTCGCTGCTCCAGATGTTCTAGTAATATGAGCCTTTTTCAGAGCAGTGCTTACCTCATCCAAAATCACTTCATCCTCAGGTTTTCTTTTCTTTCCGAGTATACTTACACCTTCATTACTACTAGAAATTTCTTCAGTGACCCCCTCAATACCTAAACTGTCTTCATTACCTACATTGTATTCCATACTTACACTGTCTTCAATTGTGATTGCCCCAGAGACATCCCTCATATATTCAATTTCCTTGTTTCCAATTACATTTCTGACCTCCAAACCTAATGCTCCTTCACTCACCTCATTTACCAATTTTACTCTTTGTAACAAACCTTTTTTCTCAAACGTTACATTTACAGCTTCCTGAGCATTGTTTATCCCCTAATAATTTCAACAATATAGCCAATTTAATGAGACAAATATACTAAAATGACCCTCAGGCTGTATATACCATGTTCATATTGTCACATCCAGTGGCATGCATCTAACCATATTCAAACTATTTACTGCAAATAATTACTATATCTTTTACTATCAATATTTGGTATTGACCTGAGATTTTTGAAATATAGTTGGGATAGCATTTTGCTTCAATATCACTCTGCTTCCAGTCTGCTGTTTCGTCTCCACTGCAAAATGTTCTGAGCATAATCGGCTTCCCTTTGTAGGTACAAACTGGACTGGGGAGTTCTTATTTACATTTTTAACCCACATAGCACGTATCTCAGGATAAATTTTCATATCTGGAAAGCTATATAATAACAATTAATGTACTAATGGTCTAAGATATTAGAAGATCTATGCAGTGCAATAATTAGTATTTAAATGCTGGCGCCGGTTGCTCAAAGCTAGGTTAGCGCTAACCCTGGGTTAAATTTTAATCCGCTCTTTTAATTACGTGCTTCTGCACCCCCGCTTGTTTCAAAACTTTACAAAATATGTTTTCTATTGAACCAGAAAATCCTCATGGTTAAAATATTCAAGTTTTATGGACAAGCGATAAAAAAAATTGATGTAAAAATTTGCGTTAACCTTGGGTTAAGTTAACCAGCTTTTGAACAACCGGCCCCTGCTGGGGCCGGTTGTTCAAAAGCGGGTTAAATTTAACCCTGGGTTAGCGTTAAACCTGGGTTAAAATCCTTAACCCAAGGTTAGCTAACCCCAGGTTAAAACTCCGTTGTTCAAAGCAGTGTGAAAGTTGCGGTTAACTAACCCAGGGTTAAGGCAGTTAACCTTAGGTTAAAAAGCGCGCGAATTCTTGCAAAATGGCGGACGTTGAAGGAGGGAGACAAAAGAAAAGAAGAAAGCTCAACTTTACGGTGACCGAAATAGACACTTTGACCAGCAGAGTGCAAGAAAATTTAGGACTAATCCAGTCAAAACTAACCAATGCGGTAACGAATCAGAAAAAAAATAAAATTTGGGAGAATATCACAAAAGAAATAAACGCGATAGGGGTGGCAAACCGCACAACAAGCGAAATTAAAGAGAAGTGGAAGAACCTGACCAGCTCCGCTAAGAAAACGTTTGCCGATGTGAATAGGCAGATGCGAAAAACTGGAGGTGGTCCTCCACCTAAAGAACCCACTGCAGCGCAAGAGAGGATAATCAAAATATTTGAAGATACTCCTCTTTTTACCGGATTAAGCGGCTTTGAAACAGGTACCGGTGGGAAGTGATTGCATTTGTTGCGCTGAACTGTGGTACAAGTTTGGGCAAGTCTCTAAATTAGTTTCCAGAGCGCAACGCTTAATTAAATTGTAATCATATATTCATTTCATATCATCATATTTGCACGAACGCGGCCATGTTTGCAAAGAAATTGCCAAGTTTTCAACTATTAATATTTGTTCAACTCCATTAGTGAAAACGGCTTCCTAAACTAAGATAAGTTTTTTTCTTTCTAGTTGAAATTCTAACTTTGCCAAGACTCTGCTATATATAAATGCTTGTGTCAACACTTTGCATTTTGCAGTTTCGCCTTTTTTTAAAGCATATACTTTGTTTATTGTATATGTATTATGTTTTATTATTTGGGTATTTTATGTCTCTTCATTTTTCAGACGGACAGGATAGACAATCCTTGGAGGGTTGTAGCACGCCCGCACTTAGAGACGGTATCCTTCAAGAATTAACAGAAGTAGGACAACTCGACTCAGATGATTCAGATGAAGATAATTATGATCGTGAAAAACAGCGTCCGATACCACCATCTTTCAATAAGGAAGAAGTCTTTACTCCTAATTGTTTACCTGTGCCCACCACCCTTATCCCCGCCCTCCCTCCACCAAGCAAAACAGAACGAAAAAGGAGAATAACAAACCAAGAGGTTTTAAAGCTGCAAGCTGAAGTTCTACAACACCAGAAAGAAGTTTTAATATTGAAGAAGGAAAACCTAAAACTAAAAAACCAGGCTTTAAGAGAGGCACAAAATAGTATGCTGAAGCTTTGAAGGGTACTGTGTCTATTCATTCCTTTGATAACTTAATTATTTCTATACAGCTTAATTATGGTTGGACTTTCAGAACCTCAAATTCTATGCATGCAAGTGGTAATAGGGGTTGTAAGGTATAGGCATTTACACATTAAAAGCAGGCAGATTGCCTTGTGCAACAAATTTTCATGTTCATGATTGTAAATACACACTCTCAAGTACTTATCATTCTTTATTCCTCCAACGTTAAAGGAAAAACTTATTAATATAAATTTCATTTAGCTGTATATAATTTTGTGTGTAAAGTATTTATATTAATGTTATATATTTATTTTATTTATAGCATTCATAAACTATTCATAAACTAATCACAATTACATATTTGCAATATAATTTATAACTCATACTTTATTGACACTGTATATTAAATTATAATATTTGATATGATAATATTTAATATTAATTAAATGGGTATGTGGAAAAAGTAGAGTGTACACTCAGTCATTTACAAGCTTGAACACATCAATCAACTTACCATAATAGCCTGTGGTTTAATATACACAAATTCATGCCAATTAATAGCTGTTTAAAAAAAAGTGTTTGCTATATGGTCTCTGATAAGATGGCCTGTTTCATGCCCTTGATATTCCTGTACTTCCAGTTCATCATCTTCATCATCATCATCATCATCATCCATTGGCTCATTAAATGCAATTGCAATATTATGCAATATTGCGCATGCACCAATAAGCTGGCAAACCTTTTCCGGGTGCATTCTCACTTCTGAGTGCAGAAGATGGAATCGTCTTTTCCATCTACCAAATACTTGTTCAATTATGACCCGGGTCCTCCTATGGGCTCGGTTAAACCCCCTTTGATTTGCTGTGGCTGGCTCATGATATGGTGTCATAAGGTATGGCTTCAGTGCATAGCCACTGTCACCAAGCAAAATTCCTTGCTCCAAGTGGTTGTGGTTGTTCTCAAGCTGCTGGCATATTTGAGATGTGTGGAAAATGTGGCTATCATGGGTGCTGCCAGGCCATCGAGCCACAATGTTTGTAAACCGTCCTATCAGAGGAGTATATTAAAAATGTAGTACATTTAAACGTGTGGTGTAATGGCTTTACTGATTCAAAAAGTTATTAATTAAACTGGACTAATCTTTTGGGACGCCCAGTACAAGTAATAGCAGTGCGATTATATATAATTATGATACAGTATCAGTATGTACCTTCATGATCACAAATGCCCTGTACGTTGATAGAGTGATAGCGCTTCCGGTTCACGTAATTATTCTCGTTATGATGTGGCGCCTGAATTCTGATGTGTGTACAGTCAACACAACCAATCACAGACGGAAAGCCAGCTTGTGCAAAAAAGTGGTTCTTTACTTTCTCGATTTCGTTTATTGAAGACGGCCATTTTATGAAATCATTTCGTCTTCTATTCAGTGCCAAAGATACATCTCTGACCGTTCGAGACACCGTTGATTTGTCAACACCGAAACTATCTCCAACAACTTGTAGGAAACTGCCGGAGGCATAAAATCTCAAGGCAATTAGGACTTGTTGTTGTGGCTCAAGTGCATGGCCTCGCTGCGTATTGCGAATTAAATCTTCATGCAGAAGGTTTGTAATGTAATTTATTGTGTTTCTGCCAAACCTATACCTTGCCCTTAGCTCATCGTCGTAAAGGCCGTCAATATTTATGCCACGTGGACGATATCGTCTTTCCCGACGAGGATGATTTATTCGAAACAAATTAAAAGGAAAGCCTGCCATGTTTTATTTGCGAACTTGATACGTTAACCTAGGGTTAAGTAAGTTAACCCATCTAGCGAGGAGGGTTAAAGTTAACCCTTCCTTTAACCTAGGGTTAAAGATAACCTAGTTTTGAACAACGCAAAGTAACCCAGAGTTAAAATTTAACCCAGGGTTAAGCAAATTTAACCCTGGGTTAGCGTTAACCGGCTTTTGAACAACCGGCCCCTGGTGTTTAAATGAACCAAATCCATTAACTGTATGCATGCAAGTGAATGTTAGAAAGATTAAATGAGGATTATACCCTTGACCGTACTTGACCCTGACTTAAATTAATACATCGTCTGCAAACCTATTATAGCAAGCTTCAGTTCAAGAGTAAAATCATGGCGCTTACATTTATAGGCTACCTAAATTATTGCAATTACACGGCGACGTGTTGAACGTGATGGCGTCTTTCGTGACTTCAAAATATAATTAAAATATGCAAATACAGAAATACAATATCTAAAATATACAGAAATACAATACGTAAAATATAAAAGAATATGAAATCGTTAAAAACTATATTTATAGCGCTTTAATCCTGAAATAAATCCAAGCCTATTTCAATATTAATCCTCTGTTTTGCTGTCGTGAGTTAATGCAGTCTTGTAAAAACCTAAGAATTATATCGCATTTAAATATTTTATTTGAAATGTAAATCTGAAGATTCTTAACGATGGGAGGAAATATTTTCCTTAGACAATCGGTTACGGCATCCAAAAGCTGAACAAAAACGCGGCATATTTATGAAAAATTTTCAAAAACCTTGGTTAACGTTTTAAATGCGTGTAAACACTTTGAAAAACTATTCAAGGCGGGAATTTTTTGCAAAAAATTACATCCAAAAGCTGAACATCCAAAAGCTGAACTCCGGCATCCAAAAGCTGAACAAAAACGCGGCATATTTATGAAAAATTTTCAAAAACCTTGGTTAACGTTTTAAATGCGTGTAAACACTTTGAAAAACTATTCAAGGCGGGAATTTTTTGCAAAAAACCGGAGGGTGAAGAACAACGTCTGTTGGCTTGGATCGCGGTTGGTCAGTGGTCATTACCATTGCCCAGTGGGACCATATCTGACGTCAGCACGAAAAATCCGCCATGTTTCTTGCTTCACTTTTTTAGCCAAAAACATTAGGAGCACTGAGCTATATAATAATTCCTGGAGGACCGGCTCCTCATTTTTCAGTAACTTCGCCGCCATCTTTTTGAAGCCACCAACATGGCGGATTTCGCCCTTCTGCGCAACCGCAGAAGCTTTGCTGACGCCACTTGGTTCCTTTTGACCATGGTATTTACCACTGACCAGGCTCAATTCTGAGCCCGCTACAGCAGTATTCTCCCCCCTGGTTTTTGTAAATAACAGTTCTCCCCCCTGGTTTTTATATTTTTTTTTGCCGTGAAATCTTTTTTGTTTTTGAACTGTTTTTCGGGTTTTTTTTTATATTTTTCGCACTGACATACAATAAAGTTTTATTTTAAGATGAATACAAGTCATACACGCTATTTTTTAGCCAGTGCGGAAACAAATATATTAAAATATGGAAAAATGTGGACAAACTAAAGATTTTAATACTGACACGAACTGACAGGTTTCTTATTTTATTTTCGTAATAATATTTTTGTTATTTATACATTCCAATATGAGAGTTTACAAATGTTTGAATGTTTTGGCACTATCCTCGCATATTTTGAAGACAACTAGGAATTTATGGGCAACAATTTGACTTTTCTAAACCCTGAACTGATGAATTGCGCAGGAAGTATGTAATCAGTATTCAGTATGTGATGTTGTCTTCAAGACTTTATATCTATGCACAATCCAAAATCCACAGAAACAGAGGCCAAAGCTCAGGCAAAATGCTGGGCAGCTGACTAATACTTAGTGCAGCAATATAGTTTCAACCAAGAATCATATTTGCATAATATACTTTTCATTCAAGTCATCAACTTGTACCCTAATAAACCTTAATAACAGGCTTTAAAAGTTTTCAGCATTCTCTAATTGCATGGATCCTGGACCCTTGGTCATAGTAAAGAATAACATTTATCCCTCCATGGGCTCCACTGATTAGCCTAATGAATATAACCCCTTTGGAGGTTGATACCATAAACAGAAAATTACAAAAGTTGCAGCAGATTAAAGACACACTGCTCAGTCAATGCATGTTTATATTTATTTCATTAATTAATAAATATGACAAATGGTATAAAAACACCAGACAACAACAAAATCAGATAACATGGAAATGAAGAATAACAATGCACAGTCATAAAATGCATGAACTTCATCCTGAAAAATAAAAATGGAGATATGATCAAGATTTATTCACAAGGTGCAAGAAGCTAAAAAATAAATTAAGAGCTGTGATAATTGATCATTTCACTTTGGGTTTGACAAGGTAAACAAGATAATATATTAACTAGGCTTTAACAGGGCTCACTATCAGAGGTTGGAATTTTACACTGTTTACAGCAACTTACTATTTTCTATCAGCACCCTCAGATCATGTTAATTGATGTTGGGTGGGATCAATAGAAGAGTGACTATAGTAGACTCACTGGGGGGAATGGTTTACCTATTAACATTGATGTTTGCTATCATGAAAACAACATAGACCAAACTCAAAAGATTGACACAAGTTAAGAAAAAATGATAAAATTTGGGTATATAACATTGCATTGACAGCACTGTAATGTACCAAAGGCTGTTTGTACCACACGTTTTGATGGATTTATAGTCTCAGAGGCTTTGGTAATCAGTTTATACTATAGTCCAAACTCGAAGGCCAAAAACGAAATTGTTTATAGTAAAAAAAGTTGAAAAACGGCTTACCTGGATTTTATAAAATAAGGGCAAAATGAGAAAATTCACTCTACCGATAAGTGAATTAAGCCATTCACAACGTCAGACGCAGAGCACGAAGCTACGTGTCCTTTCCATTTGTTGAACAGGGAAAAAGAGAAACGCTTTTATCCATTTTATATGAAAAACAAAAAAATATATACGGAAAGCTGAAAATATTTTCGTAAAAATCGGGAGGGTGATGGACACAGTTTTTCACTTTGTATCGCGGTATGTCAGTGGTAACTACCATGAGCAAAAGGAACCAAGTGGCGTCAGCAAAGCTCAAAATCCGCCATCTTAGTGGCTTCACTTTTTTGACAGGAGCCGGTCCTCCAGGAATTATTATATAGCTCAGTGATTAGGAGC